GAACGGGTGCAGCCGTGTTCACCGGATTGCCTTTGCCGGGATTGGACGGACTGTCACCTTTTGACGTTCACTCTTCTCGAGAGATCCACGTAGAAGACGAAAATGATTCAGTGTGAGTTATAGTATTTGTGAATGTCTTGTGTCAAACAAATTGCTGCAGATGTAGGCCTTCACTGCACTTTGTGGCCCGCATTCTTTTTTTTTCACAAAAATTCGGTACGCTAATTACTATTAGTTTATAGCTCTTTGCCATATCAGTATCTGCAAACAAATTCTTCAACGAGTTGTTTTAAACGAGAAAGAATTAATTGCAAAGATTTTTCAACGCCATATCGATGTGCTGTTGCTGCTGTTGCTCTATATGGTCACAGCTCTACCTTATTTTTTGGGGCTCATCCATGAGCGTACTGTGTGGTTTCTCAGAATTGCTCAATTTTATCCATAGGCACTCCTAGTTTTGACTTATAGCAGAGTATGGTCTGGCCTTACAATGTTCTCACGACATTAAAGGTTCGTTTCAACAAGCACACCTGTTACAAAGCCGTATCTCTACACCTCCCGCAACATTGCATCCGGTCTTGGCTATCTTTACTTCTTTAGGTATGTTCAAAATTCAACAGCGTTCTTTGAAGCATGGCACCTTCCAAATTTTTCTGATATACTACAAATATCTTAGGCGTTAATAAGTTATTAAAATTTGTCGCTTTGTTGCAGATTCTTGACTTCGAAGAGATTTGTTAGGCGGTAGTGCAGTGATCATCTTTTCATGACATAACCATATGTTTTAGTATAAAGACAAAGGCGAGTTTAGAAACTGAATTTGTAGCATAACACTCTGTGTGCTTCATAAGAATCAAATCAAATAATCATTAACGTTGCTACAACATGTTATTCACACAGCTCTTATACTTATTTCTTTAGTGTGTGCGGTAAGTCTAATTACAACTTAACAAAACAGTATTATTATACTTCTCCATTTCAGTAACTCCGTCATGCTTTTCTCTTTTTACTTTTTTCTTCGCTTGATAATTGGGATAACCTTTTATTGTATCTTATCTTGCGAGAAGAAGAAGTCTATGTGTTTTTATGAATTACAAGTTATCTATGTTCAATTGATTCTCCCTATTTCTTTCAAATATTTTCAACTGGCTATGTGCCGCTATTCCTAGTTTCATTTCAAGGGACAATAAAACGGTAACCAGACGGAAGGTTTTGACGAAGTTTGAATCCTCAAAAATTTTACGTTTGCGCTATGACGACTTCCATAAGTATTTGTATG